CTGTGTCATAGACATTAAACTGGTACCACTGGGAGACATCCCATAATACTGATGCTACCAGCTGCTTAGAAATGATCAAACATGGTGCTCAACTCAAAGTTTAAAAACAACTCCTCAGGATGACACTGAGAATGTTCAAAATGACTCAAATTACTTAAAAATTGCCAAAAAATGAATTCAAATATCAGGAATGATTCAATATTTTTCCCAAATGAACCTAATTTAGTTTAAAATAACATGAAATTTGTTCAGTGACTCTAAAATTTCCCAGAATTAAACAAAATTTGTTAAAAATGACTAAAACTTGTCCAAACTTACTCCAGAACGACTCAAGAATCGTCCACAGCAACTTAAAATGTGTTCAGAACGACATGAAAATTGTCAAACTGATGCAAAAGGTCCACTAGAGTGATAGATGTGGACCCTCCTCTGTGAGTGCCACCACTGTGAGGACGTCCCGGTCTAATCAGGTCATGAAGCCTGACTAATAACCAGAAGTGTGTCAGGTACAGGTGTTCACTAGAAACAGCCTCTCAGACACTCTGAGTAACACGTTCATCGTCACTTCATCTCCTTCCTGGTATTCAGACGCCCGAGGCAGGAACAACACAAAAGACAATGTTGTGGATGTTTCTAGAAATCTAGGTTGGATCTGCTGCCATTTGACCTACTCTGCTGCTAGTGCTCCCACCTTAACCAGTCCTGCCAGATTTACCTGGCTGACGGAGAGGCAGGTGAGTGGGCGTGGTGACAGCTTGCTTTCCTACGGGACACCAACACACCTTCATACCGTCTGGGAGCCAGACGCTCTGCATCAGAGGGAGACGACCGAAGCAGCAGAAAACAGCGGCGAGCAGCTCACCTGCACCAGGTACCGACTTTTACGCTCTTATTCCACGTTCGCTGCTCGTCTGAAGGGTTCTGACAAAGAGTCACTGAGAGGTGCAGCAGCAGCCTGACGCTCTCACACAGTCGTACAGGTGTAGTGGTTTAACGCTGTGCAGCAGCAGCCTGACGCTCTCACACAGTCGTACAGGTGTAGCGGTTTAACGCTGTGCAGCAGCAGCTTATTCTCTCTCAACCGTCTGTGGCATTAAATCAACAGAAAACGCAGATCTGCTCACATTTATGCTGCTTCATCTGAGGTTCTTTGCTTTTTGTGCTTGCGTTTCCTTCTAAGGTCTAAACTGAAGTTTGTTGGTGAACGTACTCCCTTAAATCCCTAACTCACCATGATCCCAGGGATTACCTGTGAACAGCGAGATACGATGCAGTTATTTATCCACCCAAAGATCTCTGTTTGACAAATATATCTGCATGGGTATCGTATTCCTTCATGTAGCTGTGACACGTTGCCACTCGTGTGCCATCCAGCTCCAGCAGCTCCTGCAGACGCCGCTGACGTTCACCGAGTCAGGAGCTATGAACGACTCTTTGAGCTTTATCATGTTTGGGCCAGCTTCTGTCAGAGCGAAGAGAAACCAGGATTATACAGCGTGGTCTGATTTCAGACACTGTTTTTTGTTCTCCTCTCCCTCATAAACTCCACACGTCTCGTCAAACATCAACAGAGGTGAAGAAAAACTCAAAGTAATACAGAGCAGGTATGCGGTATGTTTTATGGGATAATAATCATTGTTGAGGTGTTAGAGGTGATTTAACTCTTCGAGGATTTCTGGACTACGTTTGGGCTCATGTGGGATGATCAGAACAATCAACAGTTATTTCATTTACAATCAAATATAAAATAATACGTGACAACAAAAGGAAACCTGGAGACAAACAGAAGTGAACTCACCAAACCTCGTTTCTGCTCGAAGCTGCTCTATCCGCTGCAACCGAGCCGTCAGCGGTCCAGGTGCATTGTGGGTAATCTAGGAAAGCAAAATAAAGAGCGAACTGTGATGTGACAATTAAATGATTCTCAGAGGACCTGTCTGGGTTCTCCATGTTTAATACCGCTGGCTCGGAGCCATACTTACTGTCAGCACAATAAACAATATTATAGAAGCTTAACCTTAAACCTAGAAGCAGCCAGATGAATTCATACAACACTCACAAGCTCTTTATGTTTACATCAGTCTGGTATCTGTAGAGTTACTGAGCTGCTAGAGTCTGATCTCACATCTTCACATCAGTCAGGAAAACTGGAAAACACATCGTTAACTTTTAATCTGGTAGCTCTGTACTCTGGATGCTTTATATCAGGGCTGCTCGGTGGATCAGTGGGTAGCACCGCCGCCTCACAGCTACCGGTGAGGACACCCGGGATCTTCCTGCGTGGAGTCTCCATGTTCTCCCCGTGCAGCGTGGGTTCTCTCCGGGTTCTCCGGCTTCCTCCCACAGTCCACAAACATGCTGAGGTTAATTGGTGATTGTAAATTGTCCGTAGGTGTGAATGTGAGTGTGCTTGGTTGTCTGTCTCTAAGTGTAGCCCTGTGATAGACTGGTTACCTGTCCAGGTGAACCTGCCTGGGACAGGCTCCGCCCCCTGCGACCCTAGTGAGGGTTAAGGCGTAGAGATGATGGATGGTTTATATGAGCGCTGTGTAAACCACCATGACTGGACTTTAGGAGTCGTGTCTAACACGCTCATCCTTCCACTTTTACTTCAACTGTTCTAATAACTACATACATGTAATTAAGTGATCATCAATAATGAGTTTGTCTCAGTGATCAGACCAGAGCCTACATCTGACCCGACAGCGTCTCAGTGGGTAGATGTGAGGTACTGCTGCCCACTGACCCATAGCCCATATGTAATAATACTAGTACTGTTTGTGTCTGAGCAGCAGAAACAGCCTCCAGCAGCACACGGGCTGAAACAGGCCCAGCAGGCTGCAGGAGGCCCAGACAGGAGGAGGACCACCCTGCTGCTGCTGGAGAACCACCTCCTCTGGAGTCAATCATTACCAACAGCGTGGCGCCCCACGTGAACCTCCAGCGCTACCTGTGCACACACACCTGTCGTGTACGTGATGGTGCAGGACAGAATCTGGTCCTGCCTCATTCCTCAGGTCTTCTGACCATCCTGATCCGATCGGAGGCGATAAAGGAAGTATGTGCGTCTTATGTAAAGGGTCCGTTTATCTCCCACGGCTTCAGGTCGCCCTCTTGTTGACAGCGTTCGCCTGCTTTCTAGCTGAACACCTGGTCCACGTTAGAACAGGTGAACTGCTCGTCGGGTCACCTCTGACCTTCTCTGCAGCTTCACTGTCCTTCAAACAGAACCTCATCAGAACAGCAGATAGACACATGACATTTAGGAAGAACACATCTGGGTTCTGCTAGAACCTGACAGCAGATCAGTTCTACATCCATCCAGGTGTCTCAGTCTGAACACTGGACCTGGTTCTGATCGTTTCCTCTGTCAGCAGCTGGTAGCATCAGAACCGTTAAAAATGACCCAAATCAGAACATTTCCTTTTATCGCTTTATTCTGTCGCATTCAACAGTCTGCAAATAAAACAGTTTGTTTGAACCAGACTCTGGATCAGAACGCAGACGGTTTTCAGGTGACCTGCAGGTACTGACGAGTCCAGAACAAAGCCGTGATCAGTGACGTATATATGCTTCATGGGTTTCAGGGCTGGAAACTGTTGGACATGGTGATGCCACGTTCTTTCCAGAGAAATTCTTTTTCAGTCATTCTGAGTCATGGAACTGGGTTTAGAGCCGCTTGGACTGAGTGTGGACCGGTTCTGGACTGGGTTTACAGCTGGTTCTGGAGCTGTCTTGGGTTTTGAACCAAATGTGTTCAGACCATCTGCTGCAGGCGTCTCTGTGGCTCTGGGAAGCTGTCTGGACTTCTGTCCTTCTGGGTCCTGCTGACAGAAGACATCTGAGTTCTTCCTGGTTCTGGTTGTTGCACTGCAGTGAAAGTTCAAGTCCAGAGAGTGAACATGAGAGTCAGAGGGTTGCCCAGCTCATCTGACTCATCTAACTGTTGAAGCTCAATGAAAATGTTGTTCCTGCTTCTTCACCATCTCCTGACCTTCTGAGGGAACTCAACCCATGTCTGTTGTCTCCTCAGCATGTCTCTGTACGGCAGCTTCCTGCTGTCTGACGAGCAGTTCCAGTGCTCCATCTGCCTTGATGTGTTCACCAACCCTTCGTCCACCCCGTGTGGACACAGCTTCTGCATGGCCTGCATCAGCCGCTACTGGGACGGACTCAAGGTCGGTTCCTCCTCTCACTCCCTCCCTCAGCTCTTCCATCCTTCTGTTCCTCCTTCCTTCGTTCCCTGGTTCTCAGCAGACCTTCGTGTTTCTTTCTTCTTCTTTCCTTCCTGTTTTCTCCTCTCGGGTCCATTTGGTGCTACCAGATGTTCATGTGTCTGGTGGCCTGGTGAGGCTCACAGGAGAAGCTGAACTCTGGTCTGTGCTCCTCCAGGTGTGCCAGTGTCCTCTGTGTAAGAAGACCTTCCAGAAGCGTCCGGACCTGCAGATCAACAGGACGCTGAGAGAAATCACCGACCAGTTTAAATCCATGAAGGGTGGAGGAGGAGGAGGAGGAGGAGGAGGAGGAGCTGGGAGGGAGAAGAAGGGAGGAAAGGGAGGCGGGGGAGACGGAGGCATACCCGAGGACTTGTACAACGAACTGAGGAGGAGGCTGCCAAAGACTCCCATGATGCCGAGCTGCGAGGCTCCGACTCACAGTGAGCTGCTGTTTCTATCTCTAACGCCAGACGCTGCTCCACACAGGGACGGGTTAGGTCCAGCAGTCAGGCTCGGCTTCCTGGCACCAGAACACACTGGTCAACCCGTAGTTCTGACAGAGCGTTAGGGTAACAAGCTGAACACAGAGAGGCTCGGGTCAGGACCAGTTCTCCGACACATCCAGGCTTTAGGAGGAGATTTCTATTCCAGCCATGATCCGACACTAAACATAAAACCTTCTGCTATGTCGGATATCAAGGCTGTGGGATTGTCCAGACGGAGGTCCAGATACGAGGAGGGCTTGATGCTGGAAGGCTCATTAGTTGTTCATTATTGTTCATAGTTGTTATAATAACTAGTGTGTTGTTAGAACACGACGCATCGCTGGACTTCAGCCTAACTAACGTTCTGCCCACTTCCACCCCGGGGCAGCGCTCTGACGGGGTGGAAGTGTCCAGAACACACAGGCAGTACTTGGCTGCTGATGCTAGTTTAGTTAGCGCTCACACTTCTGTTTCCTCCATCGGTGGCGGCGGGGGAGTGGCAGATACGCTCCACCGTTACCATCCATGTTTACTTCCATAAACACTGAGCACGCTCGCTGCGTGTGACGTCGTCGTGTCCTCTTCTGCGCATGCGGGACACTTTTGGCTCGTATGAAGTTCACACAGCAGATCACATACAAGTCGCATTGAAGTGGAAACGTGAAGGAAGTCACAAAGAAATCCTCATTGAGCATCAAGTCCTGCAGTGTGAACGTAGCCAATCTGTGGGATTGTTCAGTCAGATAATACGCCGTCATCCTGATTGGTGACATTAAATGTCATGTCGGAGTCACAATCCAAGGCTGTCGCTATGTTAAGGCTGTTTTTATGGGTTAAAACCCGTCTGATAGCAGGTTTAGGATTGTTCAGGGTCCATTATCCAGTCACGGCTGTACATGGTGACACAAAGTCATCATACAGAGATGCAACAGAACTACAGAGACACCAGCTCACTGCAAAACCACCACAAACAGACAAAAATGACCAAAAAGAGGCAAAAAATGACATAAAGAGCTACAACAGACCTACAGACAGACGGCTCCAACAACCAGCCAACCAATCAGAGACTAAATGATCAGACAGAGACAAACCCGACTACAGACTGATGAAACATCAGCAGAACTACAGAGACCACACCTGACAACAACACAAGGCCCAAAAGGAACCACAGCCAGACAAATACTGAACCCAGAGACCTGACACACCACAGACGTGGACTTACTCTGAGCAGGACGCTCACACCAACCAGAGACACACGGTTATCATACCGGGGCGCAGAACCGCCTCAAAGACATGAAAATGAGCACAAACAGGTCAAACAGGATAATGAAGGGAACCAGAACCAGAGCGGTACCAGATCACAGCACAGGAGGCGTAAAGCGACCCGCTCAGGCTCTGACATGATGGGTGTCCTCAGATTCTTACGCTGGTGTTTAACGTGACTCTGGCTCTGACACATCCACACAAACACTCCTGGAGCTACAGCGATCGTCCTCTGTTCACTGGAGACGAACGCCGGCGAGGCAGAGACATGTCGACAGGCAGAGCGTTCCTGGAAGACGTGACAGAGAAGAGCACAGAGGAACCCGTTCAGCGACCTGGAATGTCTCCTGTCAGCAGCTCCTCGGGTTTTTCCAGCTGCTCTGATAAAAGCCTGTTTGCATAGTTTGTGAAGGCACAGAATTGGAAGTATTTAGCTTCACTAGATGCTCAAAGGCAACGTACCAGGAGGGTAACGGAGCACAAAAGAATCCGGGTTTGGTAGAAACACATCATGGTAAACTGCTTCAGATGCAACAGAGCTGCCAAGAGACTCCAGCTGAGGACAGAGAGACAGAGCGACTGTAAACTGACTGACTGTAGAATAAAAGGAAGTGAAGAGATGCAAAGTGAGCAGACGGAGGTGACGCCGCTGTGCTGAGCCACATGACGCTGCAGCTACACCGTGTGTCTCATCAGTTAGACTTTCACTGATTTCCATATAAACACATCGATCACGTGAGCAGAACAGACGTCTCCTGGGTCACAGAGTCCTGGTGGGTCATACACGGTGCTGAGAGTTCAGCTGCAGGTCGGCTGGGTGTCGCTGCACGTTCTGAGGAAGATCTAGGCCTCTGCTGTCAGCTGTGCTGCTCAGCAGGAACAGTATCAGAGAACCAGGCGACAGAGAGGCTGTGCAGCATAAAGCAGGCACAGATTCCTGCCGCTGAGCCGAACTGCAGGAGGAACAACCTGCTTCAGACGGTCAGGTCGACATGGTAACGCTCTGCTCTGTCTTCCAGGTGAGTCCATCTCAGCCCTGCTCCCACCAGTCCCGGCCTTACTGGCTTCATCGGTACCGAACTACAGTCCGATCGCTGCCCTGAACCAGAACGCCGCCCCTCCTCCACCTCCGTATCCGTCCTGCCGCTCCAGCGGCCGCAGACGGTTCACTCTGAGTGGGGCTGAGAGCAGCCGGAGCCTCCCCATCTGTGAGATCCACCACCGGGGAATTATGGTAAAACTGACCCTGATCCAAACCCAGCTCCTCCTCAGAATCACATGGTTCTGCTTCTGCAGCAACTCCAGTCCAGATTGATCACTTTAATGGACTTTTTCCATCATTTCTGAGCCTCAGAACTTCATCAGAACAGCAGATAGACACATGACATTTAGGAGGAAGAACACATCTGGGTTCTGCTAGAACCTGACACCAGATCAGCTGATCCTGAGGAGGTCAGGGGGGCTCTCTCTTCTTCTGCTGCTCTGAGCTTGAACTTGATCACAGTGACACTCTTCCTGTGGCTGGTTTCAGATCTACTGCCGGACTGACCAGGTGTGTGTGTGTCCTGAGTGCGCAGAAGAAGATCATCCGGACCACGACACGACCACCGTGGAAACCGAGTGGATGAAAACTAAGGTATGAAGCCAACAGACTGACAGAACAACTGGATGCAGTGAATCCGTCAGACTGAGCTCCTTTGTTTAGAGAACAATGGCTGAAGGAGGAAGCTGGCGGCTGACAACTTCCTGGTTCAGACATGTGGGCCATGACAGCAGGTACATTTAGCAGCTGGTGTTTGAGAATCCAGAAGAAAGAGAGACACGATAAATACCTTCAAAACGCAGTGCTGCAATCCTGTAGTCCTCCACGATGAGTCCTGAAACACGGGCTGTGTGCTGAGAGAGGAAGAAGAGACGATGAAGGACTGATGATCCGTGTTTTACAGATAAAACGGCTTCAGGGTGTAGCAGCAGCTCACACTACCTGTATACGCTGCTGTACACTTATTCTATATTTGTGGGACATTTTATTCATATTTTTGGGGAATATTTTATGAGTATATTACTTCATTTTATTCATATTTTTAGATGTTGTGTGGGTCTTTATTCGTATATGTTTGGCTCAGTTTTGACACACTATAAGTTTGTTTCTCTACTTTTTGGGCATTTTATTGTTTTTATTTTTTGGTTCATTATTCTTGAACATTTGGGAGATACGTCTGACATTTGTTTTTAAAATATTTGTGGGGAATATTATTCTTTTTTAACATTTACTAATTTAGGCTAGTCATTTTTGGACCGTTTTGTGCACAACCTGCTGAGACCTTAATAAATGAACTAAACTCACCGTTAATGTTTAGAAATGTTGGTTCACAACGTAAGTAAAAGTATTTTAGCTCATGAGGGCAAGCATAAAAGAGTAAATATTTGCTAGTTGTGTTCACAAAGTGCTAGCTAGCTGCTGCCTGTATGCTAACACTAACGTTAGCTAACCAGCTAATCAGCTAGCTAGCTACTGAACTACATAAAAACAGTAAGTTAGCCAAATGTAGCATAGAAAGTCCTTCAAAATATGATGAACTGTCGTATTTTCAACACAAATTCACCAACAGCAGCTAGTTTGTTCTCCACCTGCGCTGTTCTGGTTGACTTTTATCAGGAGAACGTCCGACCAGCTAATGCTAATCGTCATTAGCCATAGTTAGCTCATTGTTAGCTTGAGCTGTTAGCTTCTGCTGACAGTTCCTTCTCCTCTCTTACCTTCATGTCTGCCTCCTTCCTCCACATGTCAGGTTCTCACCTTCCTTCTCTTCAGCTTCATGTATTTGGACTTGCTCAACAGGAAGGTGCTCAGTTCAGGACAGGTGTCTGTGAAACCTGAGATTAATACATCAAATGTCACCAAATGTCCCCTTGTGGATTAATAAAGTATTTCTATAAATAAAAATAAAATATAATAATGCACAACAATACCTCAAGAACTACTAAAGATAAGAACCTGAAATGTTTACTGTGCTTTCTCATCGTGTCATGGATCCAGAATTTAAAGTTAAATGAGGATAAACTGGATGATACGTCTCCTGTAGAGTCGGAGTGACCAGACATGAAGTCACTAGAATGAGTTCTGATTGGTCCACAGAGTTAATCATTTAATGGTGAAGACTTGGTTTAAGGGTCCAGTTAAAGGTTGAGGTCAGTCAGAACTGGTTCAGCTGCCTCTACCGTCCTCTGAAGCTCTGACGTTGTGTTCAGGTTCTGCTGAGTGGATCCGAGCAGAAGATCCAGGAGATGATCAGACAGAGGATCAGGAAGATGGACGAGATCCGGGCGTCTGTCAGTGAGCTGCAGGTAAAAGCAGCTCACCTGTTCTCACAAGCACCACATGGACGCTCCTGGACGATGAGCTTTAATGTGACGTCTCAGAGCTTCATCTCAGGTTTTCTGCACATCGTCACAAAGGTTTCCAGTTTAGTTCATCATGATCAGGGCTGGCAGCTCATTTTATTTTGAAGATGTGTTCTATAATCCATTACATTTACATTTCAGACATATTCAGGAGTTCTGGAGGTTCTGTCTGATTCACAGATTTTGGTGACGATCAAATATTTTTTCTTTCTTCCCAACTTTGATTTAAATGTTTTTAATTCCTCCTCTCGCTCATCTGTCCAGGACTTTATTTATTCCTCTTTTTATTATTTATCTGGGTTTTCTACACGTCTAGGAGCGCTCTGGATTCAATGTGTTTGACTTGAGATTCATTTTCTACATTTAAAAGTTTTACATCGTTCACATCAGTGACTCATTAATAAGTGAATTATCAATCATAAACCTTTGAACGGCATCATTTTGTGGTTTGATTACAGTTTTTATATTTTTTAGGGTTCTCCATGTTCTTTCAGGTTTATATTCTCAGCTACATTTTGGGCAATCTGATGCAAAACTATTGTGATTTATGTTTATTTTTGTGTATTCCAGATTTCTGTAAGTTTTATTTGGAAGTTTTGTGGCTCCATCCAGGTTTTCCAGCTGCTAACTTGACCAAAGGTTCAGTGTTTTGTCCACTGGTCTGTTTCCTCTGGTCAACATTTAGATTTCCTCCTTTAAGGCTTTTGTTCCGTCGTTGATCATTGTGTGCAACATTTAATATGTGTTCATGACGTCTCTGTCAGAGGTCATGTTTGTTTCCAGCTTTTGTTGGTCTTTAGCAGTTATGACATCTAACCCAGCGTGGTGCATGTATCTGGCATGTCTCCGTCTGGTTTGGGCTTTCTGTGCAGTTACCATGGAGATGGTAACCAGCATGTGTTGATGATCCTCATGGCATTCTGAAACTCCTCAGCTGGCCGTGGAGCGGGAGACGGCGGGCAGCGTCCGCCTGTTCTCGGTGCTGGTGTCGGCCATCGAGCGCTCGCAGGCCGAGCTGATGGAGGTGATGGAGATGAGCCGGAGGGCGGCAGAGCATCAGGCCGACGCCACCATCCGGCAGCTGGAGCTGGAGGTGGAGGAGCTGAGGAGGAGGGAGGCCGCCCTGGCCGAGCTCGCCCAGTCAGACGACTACATCCACTGTGTCAAGGTGGGTCCGAATGCCAGGGTCAGTTCATGGAGAACAAACTGAGCAGAACACGACGTCCTGTCTGTCATGTCTAACCCGAACCCATTCATGTCCACCTTGTGCCCAGACCTTCCCCTCAGTGTCCAGCCCCCCGCCGACCAGAGACTGGTCCTCAGCCTCGGTGAGGTCGGACCTGGGAACCGGAACCATCTACAGGTCTCTGGCGGCGATGGTGGAGAAGTTCCAGGAAGAGCTGAAGAACGTTGCAGAAAACGGTCAGTTCACCATCAGACACACGGCAGGTTGTCCCCACAGCTGGTGTTCTGTAGGCTGAAGGTCTGACTCCTCAGAAACATTCACACAGAACCACAGAGTCAGAACCTCAACTACAAGGTGAAGAGCTCAGCTGCAAAAACAGATACGACCATCAAACCTTCAGAAAACCTTTTCATCTGAGACAGCATGAGTCAAACTTCAGTCATCTCTACTGTGGTCATGTCTACGGAGTCAGATCCACTCAGCTTCAGATCGACTCCACAACGATGGAGTTCTCTGGTTCTACAAATGAACTCTTCATGTTCTGATTCTGAATAAATAAATATAGAAACAAACAACTACAACTTCTTCTATGAGGGTTTGGGTCAGACGCCACAACAGATGTGACATCGAATGCTGCCCTCTGGTGGTTGATCCTAGTATGACCCGTAGATGGATGGATGGATGGATGGATAGATAGATAGATAGATGGATAGATAGATAGATAGATGGATAGATAGATAGATAGATAGATAGATAGATAGATAGATGGATAGATAGATAGATAAATTCTCTGTCAGCTCCTGATATTTGCTGTCTGTGTGCCTCCAGGTTTTCCTGCTCCGGTGGTAGAACCCAGTCCGGTCCGGTCTCAGCCCAGTGAGTGTTCTGTCTGCTCAGAGAGGTTCACTGAGTCCTACTGCTGGTAACACACATGCTAACCCTGAATGTTCTGTTTGCTCTGCAGGGATGAAGCGGGTCCAGGAGTACGCCCGTAGGTTACAGCCACACTAGCCCGGTTCTGCTCAGCAACATGACGCACACTGATTAGAAATAAGAATAATTAATAAATAACCCGTCTGTGTTCCTCCACCACAGTGGACGTGACTCTGGACTCCAACACCGCTCATCCCAGACTGGTTCTGTCCGAGGACATGAAGAGTGTGAGTCACCGTTCAGAAAGTGAAGCAGAACCGTCGTATAAATGTGATGATCTGAGACCTAGTGAACATCAGCTGTGTTCTGGTTGTGTTCACGCAGGTCCGATGTGGAGATCGACACCAGCTGCTGCCGGACAACCCGGAGAGGTTCGACCGAGTGGTGTGTGTGCTGGGCAGGGAGGCCATCTCTGCTGGGAGACACTACTGGGAGGTATGGGAGCAAAAGCACAGGAACAGGATGAAGCTACACAAAAGACAGAATGAAATGTGTTTACATCTGGAAACATAACATTAGAAAGAAAAACACGTGTAATTAGGAATGTTTCCCCGTTTTGTAAAATGATGAAAAATGTTAAGGATAAAGAACAGACCGATAACGTCCACGATGTTCAGACGTGTAACCATCAGAACAAGACGAGGTGAGAGTCATTACAGAGCCTGATTACAGATCTGATGCTCGAACTCTGTCCCTGCTGCCCAGGTGGAGGTTGGCGGGAAGACGGACTGGGATCTGGGCGTGGCCAAGCAGTCCATCAACAGGAAGGGCAAGATCGAGTACACTCCCAGTAACGGGTACTGGTTCCTCAGCCTGAGAGACAAGTGAGTTCAGTCTGAATAAAGCCTCTGATCAGTCTGACCAGAACCTCCTCACTTCTGACCATTCTGGGAAATAAAAGCAGCTATTACGCATGAACACACGAAGCAGTTTACCAAAGTGGTTAAACAAACATTTGTTTTGGTGCGTATTCACCATACTGAGGTCTTTAGGATGTGAGTTCAGAGCGAACAGCTCAGTGCACGTCTGGATCGACTCGCTTCACTCGTGTCGATGTCTCAGGTTGACTCAGGAAGAGCATGAACTCTGAAGTGAAAGCCTCACAGCAGACAGACGGTGATGTTAGAGCAGGAGTTTCATACACTGATGTCCTGTGTTTTGTGCCTCATCAGGAGTAAATACGCCTTCCGCACTGAGCCCTCCACAGACGTCCATCTGAACCTGCGGCCTCATAAGATCGGCATATTTGTGGACTTTGAGAAAGGACAGGTGCAGTTTGGATCTTACACTATGTGGCCTCTGTATGAGATAAAACACACTGTAAAAAACATCCTGAAAAAAACATTACAACCTGACAGCAGCAGTGCCAGAAAATAAAAAAGCTGTAATGCTCAGATGTCTCAGAGAAGATCCTGAAAACAGCATCAGACGCCTGTAAAATAAAGAACTCTGTGTAAGTCCATAAAACAGTACTGACTGAATCCCAGCGACTCACCAACGACGAGGACTGATGACAGGAGCCACCTGTGCTACATGCTAACATGCTAATCTGCTCAGGTGCTCTGGTCCCAGTGGCTTCTTTCTGTCACACCTGCTGCCAGATGTTCACGGTGTTTTATGGGATGTGTTTCTCCAGATCACTACATTCACTCACAGTGCTGCTGCTGTTGTCGCTCTGCAGGTGTCTTTCTACAACGTCGACGCTAAAATCCACATCTACACCTTCAACGTGACCTTCACTGAGAGCATCTTCCCCTTCTTCAGCCCCTGCACCAACAAATCAGGGAAGAACGACGTGCCGCTCATCCTCACGCCGGTCAACACCTCAGAGTGATTCTTCTGTCTCTTCTTCTGCCTCCCACACGTCTGGCGTCTGTGTTTGAACGTTATTCTATCCTCGGATCAGACTTTAAGTGAACGGTCTGTATTGTGTCGCCACGTCGAGCCGAGCATGAAGCATGAAGCAGGTGAAGTGGGAGAAACATTAGAACTTAACATTAAAGCTGTAAAAAATGTTAATAATCCAACAGCTGGGCGTTAAAACATCCTGTACAGCTCCAGATGAGGGCACAGCTTCTGTCTTCTTGGCCTTCTGGTGTGGACGTGTGTGAACGCTGTGGACGGATGAAACAGGATTCATATGATATCTGATGAACACGTTCATTCACAACGTCTGTAATTCTACCAGAATCTCTCCTTTAACAGAATCAGTGTAAAATTACTCTCTTAATTCTAACTAATTAAATCTAATTTCCAGTATTTAAATTAATAGATTCATCCATGAGATGTAACAAAAAAGAGAAATAATAAATGTGTAATGTGTTTAAAGAGTCTTTTTATGTATAAACCTTATTTTCTTATTAAACTTTTGCTGTTATTCACAGTCTGGATGTTGTTTTTACGTTAGACGTGTACATTTACAGCCTGTTTGTGTAATTTTATGGACATCGTATTCATCACGTGTTTCAGAAATGCTGAATAATAATAAAAAGGAAAAGCTGTAAATGACAGAGTTGTTTTATTTATCATGTATTTATTCAGCTGCAGGTGGATCAGTGGTTAGCACCGTTATTCTGTCAGCTGAGCGGTTCAGGTCACCTC